ATTAAAGAAAGGCTTAATAGTTGGAATCATAAGTTTTTTTCAAGAGCAGGACGTGAGGTCCTTCTAAAAGCCGTTGTACAGTCTATGCCCAACTAGGTAGTCTTATTTCCTCAAGAGCTTTATGCGGAGCTGGAAAGGTTAATGAATAAATTTTGGTGGATTGGCTCAGCTGGGCGTGGTATAAAGTGGAAGGAGTGGGCGGGAGAGAGGAAAGGACGGATTTACGGGAAATTTGAGCTCCCGCTACCAAAATACGGGAGTCAGACTTAGGTTTCCATTTTACAGGAAATGTGGGTAGCGAATCCAAAAAAAAGTAGGGCGGCCGGGAAAATAACAAGTCATCCAACTTATGGATTTGGGGAATCCAAAATATGTTACTCCGTAGTTGCCTTTTCTGTCATGGATTTGGGGAATCCAAAATATATTTTATTGTTTTTCATCTTACATTTTGGATTCAATGAATCCATAACTTTTTTTTGTAGGATTTTTTTGATTACTTTAAAAGAGAAAGAGGATCGTGAAGCTTCATTATGATTGGACAAAAAGGATGGACATGGATCCTCATCTTTCATTCTTTTCATCCATAGGATCTCACAAATCCATCTCAACCCTCCAATAGTTTTGTAAGAAAATTGAAAATATCCTCTCCCCAACCTTTACCCTTATCTATTTAAATCCCATCAACATCATATTCAACCTCCTATCTACCACAAATGAATTTATCTAGAAAAATATTGTTGAGTGTTGTTACTAACTCTATTTGATGTTCTTCACATTAAGGTTAGAATATTTTTCAATTAATCAATAGATTTTATTAAGTACAAACCTGTTTATATTTACCTATATAATTAGCTTTTAGTTTAGTTTATTTTTTTATTACGAATTATTGATTATGTTCCATCTAAAATAAAGTATTGATTACATTACTAAAGAATTAAATAATAATTTGATAAATTTGTTATGATATACTAGTATAAATACATGTACACTATAATACAATAGCATTTAATTGGTTAAACCAACCATTCTGACAATAATTTTGGTAAAATTTTTACAAGCAATTAGTCCTTTTCTAGTTTCTGGCAAAATTATGGTCTAGAACTAGTCCTTTTCTATTGTCTGGCATAATGAGAAAATAGTTCTCTGCGACAAGTTTAAAATTTATTATCGGTACATATATTATATTTGCACTATACTAGTAAATTTATCACAAGCTCTTCTAGAACTAGTCCTTTTCTAGTTTCTGTCAAAGCTTTTGTCTAGAACTAGTCCTTTTCTAGTATCTGGCACGATGAGAATACTGCTATGTGGCAATTATAAAATTCATTATTGATACATATATTATAATTGCACTATACTGGTAAAATTATCACAAGTTTGTCTAGAATTAGTCATTTCCTAAACTCTGGCAAAGAGTTTGTCTAAAATTAGTCATTTTATAGTTTTGATTTAATTCAAATATATTTCATCATTAGTTATAATATAAATAACACTAATATAATATTTAATTTTTAATGATAGTGGATATATGAATGGCTTCACAATTAACTAGTAATATTAATTAAAGTGTAACTAATATATATGTAAGTATATACTTTGAATTAATATATATAAGTATATTATATATACTTCGAAATTCGAATTAATATATACTTCGAATTATATATTAGTATATAATATATAACTATAATATATACTTCGAGTTAATATATATATATATATATATATATATATATATATAAGTATATTTTATATATAATGTTTATGGGTGATTTTCTTTTTTACAGGAAAGGCTTGCATGGCTTGCCAAAATACGGGAAAATATTTAGGGTTTCCCAAAATACGAAATATGTGTTTGTGTACTGTAATCCAAAAAAAGTAGGTTTGACCCTAGAATCCAAAATTTGGATTACTGGAATCCAAATGTTAGTTTGCTTCGTATATAATACGTAGTTGGTAGTACTCCAACTAAAATAAGAGTGTTATTTTGTATTGCTACGTACTCAAATTTTTTAAAACATGCTAATGTACAAATGAGTCAATATAAACTTGTTAGTGGGATAAATAATAGAGTATATGAAGTATTATGTTTTGGCATCCGAAATTTCCAAAAAGTAAAAGTTGATTGATTTAATTTATAGTTGCAATCACCTATTCGAAATATATTTTTATGATTAAGTGTTTTGAGTTTGATTGATCTACAAAAATAATCAATTGTTAGGTTATTGATTGTATTAGTGGATATACATATTTAACGATATTGTATTATTTGGATGTTCCCACAAAAATAAATAATATGAATATTTCATTGCTCATTTCTTCTTGGAAAACAACATGACAAACAAATACAAATTTTTATTCATTGAAAAGAGTTACAAAATACACATATAAAATTTTACTCTTGTGCTCTCCTCCTCGGACGCATATCCATTTCATTTGTAAATCTGGTCCTTTAAGGCCTACCGGTTTGACTGCGCCTAGCACTTTGAGGGTGTCACTAAATATCCAGTATTTGGCATCGCACTTACGTCATGCAAAGGCATAATATATGTAGCATGCGTATGGATGTACGCACCTAATTGATACACCTTCGGGATGAGATGATCTACGGTCATTTCTAAGAAATGACAAGTCGCATAGGCGTGCACACATGGAAATCCATTTTGCTTCCAAAAACCGCAATCACATTCAAAACGTGAGAGATTTACAGTTACCGGCGGATAATCACGGATGGAAACAGAGTATATTCCCGTACTTAGGTTATGCGGGACAACAGTGCACCGATGCCTTTTCTGTGAACGTTCAAGAATATCTTTCCATATTTTTTGCGGATAGTGGAATCCAGCTTGCCGCCACATTTGACCAGCCCTACGTCGGTCGGCAAATAGTTGGACAACTTTGTTATAAGTTGCCTTAACAAGCGCGGTGATTGGAAGTGCCCGACATCCCTTTAGGACGTTATTGAAGCTCTCGGAAAGATTTGTCGTGAGGATGCCATAACGTCGTCCGTCATCGAAGCACAATGCCCATTTTTCATGTGGAATGTCGTTCAAATACGTGAACGCATTCTCATTCTTAGCACGAATTTGAGCCATAGCTTGGAAAAACTCACTTACCATGGGTGTACTCCCGGCCTGCCAACAGAGCCTTTTCAGTTCAGTGCTCCTGAATTTTGTCATGAAATTGCTCCTAATGTGTTGGAGGCAGAACCGCTTTGACACTTGGGTGGTTTTCAATTGAGGCACTGATCGATAGGCACTTAGGATGCCAGGATGTCGATCTGATATTATGCACACATGCCGATTTCTCCCGACAATAGAAATCATAAGGTGTTCTAAAAACCAGGACCAACTATCTGTGTTCTCACTTTCTACGACTGCGTAGGCGAGAGGGAAAATCTCACGGTTAGCATTCATGGCAACTGCAACCAAGAGATGACCCTTGAACTTTCCATACAAATGAGTACCGTCAACGGATACTACGGGCAGACAGTGTTGGAACCCATCAATGGAAGCTTTGAAAGCCCAAAACGCACGGCAAAATTCATAGGTGCCTGCGTCATCGGTTGGATTTGCCTGGAAATCTACCACTGATCCCGGATTTGAATTTCTTATTGAGTGCAACAAATTGGGAATATCATTGTAGGTCGCCTCCCAATTTCCGAATCTTCGCTCAAGGGCAATCAAACGTCCACGCCACGCCTTTTTGTATTTGACATTGATGTTGAATTTGTCGGATATGTCTTGCATGATGAGTTTAATGCTGTAGTCCGGATCAACATGCACTTTTGTAACGATTTCACTCGCTATGATCTTGCTCGTAATCAATCTGTCACTAGGAGCTCTTAAATAATCCGTCCTACAGTTGTGTAGTGGTTGATATTTTTTCACCTTCCACAAATTGGAGTCCAGTAGTTCTCCCGCCTGAATGTGCCACGTACACGTCTCTTCATAGATGCAAACCGCCTTCCACGATCTAGGACGTTTGTCTTTTGTCTTGAAAATTGAATATTGTAGAATATTTTCTTTTGCTACAGCTTCTTTCAATAAGTCGTATGAATCGTATACTTTGCCGACCATAATAGTGTCAGTTTCACGATTTGCTGGCTCAACGTATGGCTGTTCCGGTTCAATATTGGCCCATGTAGTGTCATGAGCGTCATCACTATCATTGGAATTTGTTGTTGCATCGACCTCGCCAGAAAAATGTTCATAATCTGAATCATCTTCCTCTTTGTATATTGTTGAAGGGCCATCTTCTTGTTCAACAGTTTGCGGGATATAGCGTCGGCCGTATCTCGATGATGGTCCCTCATCGTGGGAGTGGAGGTTGTGGTTGTCATCTCCTCCATACGTCGATATTTGTGGTTGGACTATAGAGGTGTTTGGTGTATTCAGGAAAATCTGCAATTCTCCATACTCTCTTTTAGCCAGTTCAGAAAAATGCTTCCAAGTATCTTCATCATGGATGGGCCACAATCTAGAAGCCGCATATACACGATTTTTGTACTTGGGTAATTTTCCATGAATGAATATAATTTCTCAAAAATTTCTCCGCGTGCACTCTTCGACAATACGTGGAAGTATAGTGTTAAAGCCATGAAAACACCCTCCGTTCATTTTTAATTGCAACAGTCAACATTTCACGTTTGCCAATGCACAAGTTTGACCATTAATATATTTCATTCCCTATTAGTAAAAAAATTTAAAAATTCATATTTTGAAAATTTAGAATGAGAAGAATTAAAAAAAAAAAAAGGTCCAATGTTGCAATTAAAAGAGAACGGGGGTAGTATATAGTTATGATTGGGATATCCCAGAAAAGCTTAATTGTTGAAAAAGATGGAATTTGAGTCTTTTTTTGATAGAAGAGAAAGTATAAGATAAATTTGTGGATTTGATGATATTTGAGATAAAATAAACCAATAATCCTATGAAAAAGTTTGGTGAAAAAGATGATTTGATAAGTCTGATAAATCGAAACAAGGTCACCAAACGGGCACTAAATGTAATTATGATTTTGAGGTATAAGTAAACATAAAACTCGAATTTCAATATGACAACATTAAAGTGAATGGATGACATGATTTATTGGAATTATAACGCAAACTACATACAACTATTCAGATTCATCAGATTCATAACGTCGACCTGGAACGGCGAAGTGACTCCCAATGCCGCAGCGTCGGGAATGTATTCCCCGCCTGGGCCTCTGGTCAACCATCGGTTGTGTGTTTGGTCCTTCTTCGTGCCCCCACCCACTATGTACGTCTAATCCTAATAAGTTGTTCAGCCAATCAACCGGTGAATGTAAAAAACTAGGTCTCACCTCATATGTAGGTTGTACATGTGGAACTGGTGTCTCATCAAATGTTGGAATGTATACACCCGTTGGTGTAGAGTAATGATACGGCACATGAGGGGGGATGGGACATGTGAATGAACATGATACGATGGTTGTCGTTCTTCTTCTTCTTCCTCATCTTCCTCATCTTCACCACCACCACCACCACCACCACCACCACCATCATCATCATTATCATAATCGTCATCGGCATCATCATTCACATTTTCATTGGCATGTGGGGGGACATAACCGCGTCCATAACGTTGACCAAAAATGGGGACGCCTATTCTACGGTGTTGCCGTTGTGGAGGATAAGCATCTACTGCATCATCATCATGGGCATCTCTGAAAGTGATAATGTCGTGATGAAGCACATCTTCGGCACCTAATCCTATAAGGCACTGCGCCATTTGCTCCCAGATTTCTTCAACGTTAAATGGATCTGCCATGTGCCCATAGATATCGCCCATACATTGCATCTAAAATTCAAAAGTAAAGTTAATAAATTACAATAAACATTTTTAAGTTGTATGTAATCACATAAAATACTTACCAAGATACTTGTCTCCCTATTAGTAGGAACATAACCTATTGTGGGACGAGCATGTGACGGATTGCAAATCCGTCGTTTCCCATACGTCTTGTACCAACGACGATACATAGTGCTGTAGGTGGGACTGATATTCATGTAATTTCCGATTGTATGTTTTTATTTTTAACTAGTTTTTATTAGTTCTAGTTGTGGAAATTACACACTTTTGGTGTGATACTTTATTTTCATTTTTTATTTGTAATTTAGTTAGATTAGGATTTTTCTGAGCTAAACAGGTCAAAGATCATCCAAGGGATCAAGATTGGACCTTAAAAGATCAAGGAAAGTGCAAGGAGGCAAGAAAGATTTCGATTTGGGAAAAATACTCATGTACCCGGTCGGGTATTGCCTATACCCGATCGGGTAATTGCTTGATTCGACTGTCCAAATCAAATCCGAAGACAAATGATCGTGGGAGCAAATTTTCATAAAGATTTGTCACTTACCCGATCGGGTATATACCCTTACCTGATCAGGTATGCCCAGAAAAATCACTTTCTGGGCAATTTCCTGAGATACCCGGTCGGGTATCAGACCCTGCAGCTCCCAAAAGCCTATAAATACACCCCTTTCCTTCCCAATAAAATCACCAATTTACATATACTCTCTAGCTCAGTTTAGATTAGTGTTTTCTTTATATTTTTATCATGTTTAGTCTCCAAATGAGGAGCTAAACTCTTCCATCTTGGTTTTGCTACTTTAAAGCTTAATGAATTTGTAATTTGTGAGTTATTCTCTTTAATCTTCTTCCTTGAATATTACTTCTTCCTTTAAATACTATTTCTATATCAATGTTGGGGAGTGTTACTAAGATGACAATTAGTTAACATCTTGACATTAGTTATAGTAATAGCTATTTCTTCCTCTATGTTAATATTGGGAAGTGTTACTAAGATGACAATTAGTTAACATCTTGATATTAACTATAGTAAGATTCATCTTCTTTAATATTAATTAATTCCTATTCATATTTCATATTTATATTTTGAACATTACTTAAAGGATCAACTAGTTTTGTTTCATATATTAATTATTACTAGAATCGGTCGATTAATACGCTTGTTATTAATTCGGTCCTTTCACGGTAGTAAACTTGGGTTATTAATGCATGCGTTTCATGGTTAATAAACCAAGGGGAATTAATTATATTGATTAAACCAATAAACCGCTTGTGTTGAGGTTATCAATCTCAATCGTTTTCATCTTGATTTTATTGCTACTATCGAGTGAATATATGGCGCGTGTTCTATATAAACTCGGTAGTAAGTTTTATTAATGAACGCGTCTCGTTATTAATAACTACCCTCGATGAATTGGATATACTCCTCGATTGAGTATTCGAGAGGAAGATAGTTAAAGATATAACCTGGATCGACGAACATTTCATTAAGTGGATAAAAGCAAAACCAAGTCTCCTTCTCATTAATTAAACCACATAACTCGTTCATCTTCGTGCTTAAATATAATTTAAGTTCATCAACCAAACATAAAAACCCCCCTGTTATTACTTATTTATTTCTATAAAAAGAGAAGTGTTCCTTTCCCTGTGGATACAAACCTTACTTCATTATACTACGTATAATTGTTGTATTGAATATTATTTTGAGTGCACACCACGACAAAGTGCACGTCAAATTTGGCGTCGTTGCCGGGGAAAGGCAATTAATTTTTCTTTTTATTTTATTTCAAAAAAAAAACAAGAAAAAAAAATATACAAAGATTTCTATTTCTTCTCTGAGCTTTGTTTGAGTATATGGTTAGAACCCGATCTATAAACCAAATCACCTACCAAACAAACCCCGAAACAGAACAAGCCTTTGAGAGGTTTAGGAATTTATTTTCGAATACTTCTTCGGGGGAATCATCAAGCGCTAGTTCTTATTCTAGCGGATCTGAAGAGTCATTCCACATGGCTCAAGAAACGAGAACCTTGAGGGAGCTCACAGCTCCAAACTTGAATCAACAACCATTGTGTATTACCTTTCCTACTCTTGATGAAGGTAATACATTTGAGCTAAAATCTGGGCTCATACATCTATTGCCATCTTTTCATGGCCTACGAGGAGAAGACCCGAATAAACATCTTTCGGAATTCCACATCGTTTGCACAAGCATGTGCCTAAACGGTGTTACCGAAGAACAAATCAAACTGAGGGCCTTCCCATTCTCTTTGAAGGACACCGCGAAGGATTGGCTTTTCTATCTTCCTTCTGGGAGTATCAACACATGGGCACAAATGAAGAAATGCTTCCTTGATAGGTATTATCCTGCTTCCATCTCATCTTCTCTCAAAAAGCAAATAAGCAACATCGAGCAAAAGGATGATGAGTCCTTGTATGAATATTGGGAGCGTTTTAAGAAGCTATGTGCTAGCTGCCCCTATCACAGATACACCGAACAAGACCTCATCTTATACTTTTATGATGGTCTTGTTGATGATGATAGAAGAATGGTGAATGCCGCTTGTGGAGGTGGCATTGTTAACAAAACTCCTTCACAAGCAACAAGCTTAATCTCGGAATTAGCCGAGAACTCACGGCACTTCAGCCGCAAATCCTCCACCCGAAGAGTTTTTGCTGCGGAAACAAGTACAACCGATCTAGAAAGTCAAGTTGCCGGCTTGACTTCTTTGGTAAAAGAACTCCTTCTAAAACCAAAAATTCAGGAGGTCAAAACTTGTGGCATTTGCACATCAACCGAGCACCCCACTGATTCATGTCCATCACTCCAAGAAGAGCAAGTCAACGCCCTCAGTTTCCAAGGACATCAACAAAGAAGGTATGATCCTTTCTCAAATTCTTATAATCCGGGATTGAGGGATCATAAAAATTTGAGATATGGGAATCCTCAACAAGCCAACTCATCTTCTCAACCACCTTTAAACACTCAAGGTTCAAATTCTCAATCTAATATGTCAATTGATGACATGATCCGAACTTTGACCTCAAACATGGTTACCATGCAACAAAACATGGGAGAATTTCAACAAACCATGATACAATTCCAACATGAGACAAAGTCAAGCATAAAAAATTTGGAAACTCAAGTTAGCCAAATTTCAAATGCTGTGAGCCGACTTGAAGCAAAGGACTCGGGTAAACTCCCATCTCAAACGGAGCAAAACCCGAGACAACATGTGAATGCCATCATGTTGAGAAGTGGGACGACATTGAAAGAGGTAGAGAAGAAAGATCAAGGGATTGAAGAGGTTGACCGTGAGGAGGAAGCTAAATTCGAGGAGGAGTCAACAAAAGCCAACCTCCCTCCATTGTCATCATATGAAGCAGTAGCTCCTTTCCCCGAGGCACTGAGGGAAACAAAGAAGCCAAGGAGAGATGCAGATATCTATGAGACTTTTGCCAAGTGTGAGGTAAATATTCCACTCCTTAACTTGATTAAAGGTGTCCCTCGATTCGCTAAATTTTTAAAAGAATTATGCACAATCAAGAGGACACAACACTCAAAGGGAAAACAGAAAATTGAAATCAGTGAACATGTTTCGGCAGTTTTTCAAAGAAAACTCCCAAAAAAATGTACTGACCCGGGCATGTTCACTATACCATGCAAGCTAGGAGACACCATTTCTATGGCCATGTTAGACTTAGGGGTGTCAATTAACGTGATCCCCAATAATCTTTATAAATCTTTGAACCTTGGCCCTTTAAACAAAACCGGTGTCACTATTCAACTGGCCGATAGATCAACTATTTTCCCAAAAGGGGTAGTGGAAGATGTACTAGTTTCGGTAGGTGATCTAGTGTTTCCTGCCGATTTTTACGTACTTGAAATGGAGAGTGATGAACATGAAGTCCCTATTTTATTAGGGAGGCCATTTTTAAAAACCGCTAATTCAACAATTGATGTTTCTAGCGGACTTTTAACTATGGAATTTGATGGAAGGAAAATAGAATATAACATTTATAATTCTATTAAAAATCACTCTTCCTTTAAAGAATCAATTTTGATCATGGAGGAATCACTAGATAAACCACCGACGGTTGAGATGGTAGCAAGAAAGAAAGCTCGGCCTTACTGGAAAAGGCCGAAAAATAAAATTGACACAAGGCCAAACAAGGCCTTAAAGAAGGATAAAAGGGATGTTTATGATCCCACTTAATTCAGAAAATAAAATAAAAATAACGTCGTGCCGCGACATTAACTAAGGCGCTTCTTGGGAGGCAACCCAAGTTTGTATTTTGATTATTTGCATTCAGTTGAGTGTTTGTGTAAAAAAAATGCACTCCAGGGGAAGGTACCCGATCGGGTTACACCCTTCACCCGGTCGGGTATATTTAATTGAGTTATGGGAATTCCTACGGCGTGATTTTCCCGGTCGAGTATTACCCCAACTCGATCGGGCCCGACCCCGGAACAAGCCAACCCGCGTATACCCGATCGGGTATGTCAGGGCACCCGACCGGGTACCCGAGTTTTTAGCCCAAAACCCACATTTTCGAACCCCCTCTCCAAAATCCTCCATCTTTAAACCTTCTTTCTTCACTATCTCCATTAATACTCACCCAAACTTCCTCATATTACCACCAAAACACTCCCCTTTACAAACCCAAAAAAAAAATCCCCATATTTTCTCCTCTCCATAAAACCCAAAACCACAGCCCCCCGAAATTCAAGCTCCAAAAAAGGCAATCAATGGCACCAAAGCGGGACACGGCCGCAAGTTCACAGGCTAGGGGACCGATTCAGGGCTACAACGATGTACATTCCAACAAGGTTATTACGGAGACGAGCACTAGGGACAGTGCTTCAAACAAAGTGAGGGGGAGTCACTCATTGATACGTACTTAAGTTTAATACCTTGTAACTGGCATTATTTTCTTCACATAAAAAAACAAAAAAACGAAAA